AAAAAGAAAGGAAAAGAAAAAGGTCCTCGTTAAGAAATGGTCACTGTGGCCAGACTGAGGCTGGAGAATTGCTTGAACCTGGGAGGCGGAGGTTGCAGTAAGCCGAGATCACACCATTGCACTCCAGCCTGGGCGACAGAGCCTGGGTGACAGATCACTCCATCTCAAAAAAAAAAAAAAAGAGAAATGGTCATTGTTCGGGGCAAGGTTCAGGGCCTGGAGAAGGTGAGGGGAAGCGGGAGAATAGAAACTGGAAAAAGGAAGTACTAGTCCCTTTCCAAGATATTGCAGGGCCCTGGGGCACCCCCACCCTCCAAGATACAGCTCCCAGGAACAAAGTCACGTGCCCCAAAACGTGGTGGAGTGGGGGAAGGAGCAAAGATTTCCGTGGAGACGGCGCTCAGGGCTCAAAGTCCGGGGCTCAGAACAGCAAAAAGCCAGATTGCCGGGGGAGTGTTTAATCTGCCCAGGGTATCTGGGCACCTGTGCAGCCTGAGCCTCCTTATCATCCGCCCAGCCATCATCCCCAGCCCCAAAAGCAGCCTCCTTCCCCAGAGGTAAACTGAGTCCCAAGAGATGACAGGAGCCCTTCCAAAGGGCTCTCATGAATGCTTTAATGCAGGCCATCGGGAAGTAATCCTCAGCTGGGAGTGGGTGCATGGGAGAGGGGAAGTTCTGGCCAGTAGACATCAGGCAGAAAGAAAAGAAATCAGGCAGTGGGTAGAAGCAGGTGGCGCCATGAGATGGTGGAGGATTGTGGGTGTCTCCTCAACCAGGGATGCTCTTCAATTATGAGAAGAATCGCCAGGCAGGGACCAAGCTCAGGAAGAGGGGTGCGTGAAAACCATGTTTGCCCAGAGAGCCCCCATTGAGGGAGGTGGGGTGGGTTCCAAGCCTTCTTCACTTGAGAACACTGTATTCTGAATCCCAGATGGAGTCATTTCACTGGATTCAAATCCAGGGCATTGCTTGTAGGGGGCAGAAGAGGCATCTCTGGGGGGCTGCCTGGAAGAGGTAGCCGGGAATCTTCACATGGCTGTGTTCTTTGGTCTCTCATGGTATCTGGGCTCTTCTTCCTCCAGCTCCAGTCCCAAGTTGCTCTCTCCTTCCTTCCCTGCCTTTTTCTCCTTCTTCTTCTCTTCTTTCTCCTTGGCCGCTTTCTTCTCTCTCTTGTCTTCACTGTAGGGATACAAAGGCCCCAAACCATAATAAGAAACAGGGACACTCCTATTTAATAGTCACTCACTGGAACCAGCCCATGTGATGAGTGTTTTACAAGCGGTATCTCAGTGAATCTTCAAAATAATCCTAACTACTCAGCCTCACGATTTCCATTTCACAAAGACAGCACCTACGACTCAATTGCTCCATGGAAGGAGGGATGGATGGATGGATGGACATAAGCCAAAGGGCCCCAGTTGCCTCTTGGGACTCAGTTTACCCCTGGGGAAGGAGGCTGCTTTTGAGGCTGGGGGAAATGACTGGGCAGATGATATGGAGGTTCACACTGCATATTCATCATTGCAACTAAGACTCAATTTCTCCATGAATGGATGGATAGATAGGTAGGAGGGTAAAGAAGTTGGGGAATAGATGGGTAGATGAGTGGATGGGTGGGTGGATAGTGGGTGGGTGGATGGATGATCGATGGTTGTATGAATGAGTGGATGAATGGGTGGATGGCTAACTGGGTGAGCGGTTGGAAGGATGGATGGATGGGTGGGTGGGTGGATAGGTGGATGATAATTGGATGAGTAGACAGATGAATGGATGGGTGGTTGGATGGGTGAGTGGATAGTTGAGTGGGTGGATGGATGATAGATGGATAGGTGATGGATGGATGGTGGGTGAATGGATGGGTGGGTGGGTGGATGGGTGAATGTGTGGGTGGTTGGGTGAATGGGTGGATGAATGGATGGATGAGTGGGTGGATGAATTAATGAATGGGTGGGTGAACAGATGGGTGACTGAGTGGGTGCGTGAATAGATGAGTGGGTGTGTGGGTGGGCGGATGATGGGTGGATGATGGATGGATGGTGGATGGATGGATGATGGATGGGTGGATGGATGAATGAATGGGTTGGTGGATGAATGGATGGGTGGGTGGATGGATGAATAGGTAAGTAGTTAATGAATGGATTGCTGCATGGAGGTTGAATAAATGAATTGGAAGATAGATGGATACATTACAGCAAAGAGAATGATGGAGGGATGGAGAATGGAGAATGGGTGGATGGGAGTATAGATGGATGTATAGATCAATGAACTAATGTATACGTGGATGAATGGATGAGTAGATAAGCAGTTAGGTGAATTGATGGTTGCATGGAGGGAGGGACAGATTAGTAAGTAGATGAGAGGATGAATTGGAGGAAGAAGAGAATGACATATCAATGGATAGGTAGAGGGAGGATGAATGATACTGTACGTGGGGGGATAGATCAATGAGCTAATGGATAGGTAGACCGATGGATGGGCAGTTGGAGAGTGAAGACTACATAGTTTGATGGATGCATAGGTGGGTGGGTGGGTGTGTCAGTGAGTGGACAGATCAATGGGCTAATGGGTAGGTGGACTGATGGATGGGTGGTTGGAGGGTGAGGACTGCACGGTCAAACCAATAGATGGATGTACCGGTGGATGGTTGGGTGGATGGATGGAGGAATGAACAAGGCAGAAAGGAAGCTACAGGTTCAGGTGTACAGGTGGGATCCAGATCCCCCAGTACATCCTGGGAATAGGAATCAGATTTTACTGGGGCTGAACCAGGTCTTAGACAAAGTCACCACTCAGGTCCTCTCTCTCAGGCACGTCTTGGACTCAACTGAGACTCTCCCAGCCAGGCTGGTCACCTCCCAGCGGAAGGTCACCCCCAGTCCTGGATGGATGGATGGATGGATGGATGGATGGATGGATGGATAAATGGATGGGTGGATGGATGGCTGTGTGGGTGGATGAGTGAGTGAACAGATGGGTGATGGATGGATGGATGGATGGATGGATGATGGATTGATGGGTGGATGAATAGATGGGTGGGTGGATGAGTAGATGGGTGGGTGGATGGATGGTGAATGGATGGATGATGGATAGATGGGTGGGTAGATGGATGGGTGTGTGAATAGATGAGCGGGTGGGTGGATGGGTGAGTGAGTGGATGGGTTGGTGAATGGATGGGTGAGGGGGTGGGTGAGTGAATAGATGGGTGATGGATGGATGGACGGATGAATGACGGATGATGGGTGGATGGATGGTGGGTGGGTGGATGGGTAGGTGATGGATGGATGGGTGATGAATGGATGGGAGGTGATGAATGGATGGGTGAGTGGATGGATAAGTGGTGGGTGAATGGATTAGTGGGTGGGCAGGTGGATGAGTGAACAGATGGGTGATGAATAGATGATGGATGGATGGATGGGTGAATGGGTGAGTGGGTGAATGGGTGAGTAGGTGAATGGATGAGTGGGTGGATGAGTGGGTGATGGGTGGATGGATGATGGGTGGGTGGATGGGTAGGTGATGGATGGATGGGTGATGAATGGATGGGAGGTGATGAATGGATGGGTGAGTGGATGGATAAGTGGTGGGTGAATGGATTAGTGGGTGGGCAGGTGGGTGAGTGAACAGATGGGTGATGAATAGATGATGGATGGATGGATGGGTGAATGGGTGAGTGGGTGAATGGGTGAGTAGGTGAATGGATGAGTGGGTGGATGAGTGGGTGATGGGTGGATGGATGATGGATGTCTGCATCCCTGAGCCCTTTGTGGGCAGTGTCATAGGAGACACTGAGTCCAGGGGGGTCACCCATACCTAGGCCTTGTACAGACACCTACACAATCCTACACCACAGTCTTCTTCAACAGGTATTTATTAAGCACTTCCTGTGTTCCAGGCCCAATGCTGGGTATGAGGACACAGCCAGGACCAAAACTAAGTTGCCTACACAACTGGAAGGCACCATGTAATGTCTCAAACTTAGTGAATGACTAAGACCGTTCTGCTGGTGATAAACGTGAGTGAGACATGGGGCTGGGGACAGCGTCGGGAAGGCTGGTGGCCAGGCCGGAAACCCCTGAGTGGGGACTGGAAGAGGAGGAGGAGCTGCCAGAAGATAAAGGAAAGGTGAAGGTCCCAGGGCAGTAAAGTGTTTGAAGGATTCAGGACAGTAAGATCATCAGTGCACACCTGTTCCCCCACCCCAAGGAGGGGCTCACACAGACCCCTGACACCCGCCCGCAGGCATAGTACCTCCAGTCCTGGTATGGGTTGGACTCCATTCTTAACGTGGTCTCCTCGTCCTCAGCCCTGCAGAGATAAAGGGAAGGGTGGAAGGGGGTGGGAGGGGAGTAGGGGGAGGTAAAGGGAAGGAAGCGGTGTAACAACCTCAGCCTCTGTCCCAACCTCCCAGCCGGGGCTCATGAACCCCAGGACGCAAGGAAGGGCTGGGCTGCCGGGCCGGTTATCTTGGGGAGAGAGGCGGGGGTGCAGGCCCGGGGTCTGGGCTTTGAGAGTAGGGGTTGGAGGAGCAGCAGGGCAATGGGAGACCTTTGGACATAGAGGCTGGTGATGGGGGGACCAGAGAGGGTTGGGAAGCTGGGGGCGGGGGCAGTGCTTTGGGCAGGGCTGTGGGGGCAGCGGGGTGGGGCGGGCGCCCACCTGGCCTTGGAGCACCAGAGGCGGTTGGCCAGCAAGACCACATAGACGATGAACAGGAAGCCGACTACTGCAGCCAGGCCCACGAGCCACGGCTTCAGGCGACGCTCCGTGGCTGCAGGAAGTTGGGGAGGTTCGACTCAGAGGAAGGACAGAGCAGGAGACCCCCATTCCCCCACCACCCTAGCAAGGAGAGTGAGAAGGGCACTGGGGGTGCTCCGACAGAGCGGGTGTTGGAAAGGGACGGAGCTTCAGAGACCGGGATGGCGTAGGGGGGTCGGCGGGGTTTAGAGAGGGAGAGGGTACCTTACCAGAGTGGGAGGGAGCCTGGGGACCCAGAGAGGGGAGGCGCTCATAAAGAAGAGGGGCTCGGAGGGGACTGAGTTTACAAATCAGGAGGGCTCCGAAGGGGCGGGGCTTATAATGCAGGAGGAGGCTCAGGGGGAGGGGCTTCTAAAGGAGGCGCTGAGAGGGGAGGGGCTTATGACAAAGGAGGGGCTCAGGGGTGGGGTTTACAAAGGAGGAGGAGCTCAGAGGAGGGGCTTATGAAGGAGGAGGAGACTCAGATGGGGAGGGGCTTGTGAAGAACAGGGTCTCAGATGGGGAGGAGCTTATAAAGAAGAGTCTGGGGGGGTTGGGCTTACAGCAGAGGAGCTCATGGGAGGGGCTTATAAAAGGAGGCGGAGCTCACAAGGGAGGGGCTTACAACAGAGGAGGGGCTCAGGAAGGGGTTCATAAAGGAGGAAGAGAAGGAGGGGCTTACAAAGGAGGAAGGGGCTCAGATGGGGAGGGGCTTGTGAACTAGGGGGCTGAGTGGGAGGGGCTTAGAGAGGAGGCAGAGGCTCAGGGGGAGGGGCTTATAAAGGAGGAGGCGCTCAGAGGGGAGGGGCTTATAGAAGAGGAGGGACTCTGGGAGGGGTTTATAAAGGCGGAGTAGTGAGAAGGAGGGGCTTACAAAGGAGGAGGGGGCTCAGATGGGGAGGGGCTTGTGCAAGAGGCAGGAGCTGAGAGTGGAGCTGAGTTCAAGCCGGGCTAAGCCAGGTGTGCTCAGAAGGGCTGGAGAAGGGAGAGGCTCAAGTGGGCAGTGGGGTGGCCCTTACAAAGGAGGGCAGAGACCAGCGAGGGGGAGGGTGGGTGGGACTGCGGGGTTTGAGGAGGGCCTCCAAGCCACCCTTCCTCTTCTTTCTGCCCCCTCCCCTCTTTCTCGCCATGGAAAGTTGGGAGATGGTGATCATCTGACCAGCTCCCCCATCCCACGACGCCCCCTCCCGCCCCCCTGCACCTACTCTGCTGGGCCTCCGCCGGGGAGAGGAGCAGAAACTCCAGCACCAGAAGGACCCCCAGGGTCTCCATGACGGTCGAGCGAGCCAGCAGCCAGCCAGCGGCGGTCCACAGGTTTGGTGTGGGCGAGGCCCTGCCTCCCCGTGATAAGGCACAGGCGGTCCGGGGGCGGGGGATGCCTGACACCTGGGAGCAGGGCCCGCCCCTGGCACCATCTGGTTGGGCATCCTGCCCTCCCCTGCCAGCTCCTGCCCCATCGCTCTCCCTTCGGGAGGCCAGACTCTGGACCTGTGTAACAATTAACTGAGGGAGTCCCTCCTCCCTGCACCCTACCCTGGGGACCATCAGCCTCAGAGCCGCCCCCTCGAGATCCCTGCTGCAGGGGCGGAGCTGAGATGACTGCGACCTCCCGTCCCGGCCCAGGCCCCTGCCACTCTGTGCACAGGGGGAACTGACAAATACAACTAGAATATCTTTAAAAAGGTGCGCCCGCCCGGTGCCTCACGCCTGTAATCCCACCACATTGAGAGGCCAAGGCGAGCGGATCCTTGAGCCCAGCTTGGGCAACTTAGCGAAGCCCTATCTACAAAAATAGAAAAATCAGCCAGGCGCGCCGGGCGCCTGCAGTCCCAGCTACTAGGGTGTGCCGAAGTGGATCTCTTGAGCCCAGGAGTTTGAGGCTGCAGCCAGTTATGGTCGCACCACTGCACTCCAGTTTGGGTGACAGAGGAAGACCTTGTCGCAAAAGAAATAAAAAGAGTCACCAAGGCCGGGTATGGTGTCTCACGCCTGTAATTCCAGCACTCTGGGAGGCCAAGGCGGGAGAATCGCTTGAGACCAGGAGTTCCAGACCAACCTCCTACCGTCTCTAAAACAAAAAATATAAAACTTAGCTGAGCATGGTGGCCTGCACCTGTAGTCCCAGCTACTCAAAGAGACTGAGGTGAGAGGATCGCTTGAGCCCAGGAGTTCCAGGCTGCAGCGAGCTACCACTGCACCACGGCACTCCAGCCTGGGCAACAGAACAAGACCTTGTCTCTAAAAACAAAATTAATTTGAGAGTTGGCTTTTGTGTTCTCAGAGTACACACAAGGCTCCGCGCTCGGCAGTTTCACAGATCGCATTTCCTTTCTTAACACTCCGTGAAATGGTGCCAGTCTCATGGCGCACAGCCCAGGAAAGTCAAGGTCACACAGCAGGTCTGACCTGGGATTTGAAGCCGGGTCTGCCTCACCCCCAGCTTATCCTGCCTCGCCCAGGTTCTTGGCCCCTGGGGACCCACAGGCAGCCGTGGGAGCACACGGGGACAGGAAAGGTGTGCAGAGGCCACCTGCCCATGGTCCACCCGCAAACCTGGAAGCTCTCACGTGGGGATGCCCCGGAGGGCTGATGACTCAGGATCCAGGCTCTCCTGTCCTCAACTTTGGTCCCTCGGCTGATTAGATAGCGGGCCCTGCCCGGGCGAAGGGTGACCCCACCCCAGCTGACACAGGAGCAGCCATGGCCCAGGCGAGTGGTAGGAAGGCCCAGCGTCGTCATCGCACGTGTGTTTATGAGCGCCTGCTGAGTTGCTGCCACTTCCTCTCTTCCAGAGGTCTGTGGATGACCGCTGAGCAGACAGGCCACTCAGCAGGACCGGGCTCACGCGTCCCAGCCCGAGGACGGCCACAGGTCTGCCCGAACAGCCAGGCAGGCATCTCTTAACCTCTTACTGTGTATCCCATCTTGTGCAGGGCTTGAGAGGGAAGGAGGCCTTGCTGCTGTCTGGGAGCTCTCCATCTGGTTAGGAAGTCAGGACCACCCCCCAGAGACGAGCCCACCCAGCAGCCGAGGTGGGGGCTTGAGAAGCTTTGGAGGTAGGGGAGCCCAGCAGAGGGGGTGGGGGCGGGACCCGCCTCGGAGATCCTGCCCTCCAAAGTCAGTCAGTTGCCTGGGCTTTTTCTGGGAAAAGCACTCTGTGCTCTGAGACCTCGGCGAAGCCATTTCACCACTGCGTGCCTCGGTTTCCCCCATCTGTTAAATGGGGGCCATCAGCTCTACCTTGGAGGACTAAATGAGATACTGCATAGAAAAAGCCTGCTCTGCACAGCAGCAGGTACGCACTAAGCGCTAGGTAAGGTTGGCCGATACTATTACCATGTTTTAAATCGCCCTAGTGCTTCTAGTTCACAGTTTGCTGATAGCTTGGCCGAGGCTGAGCCGAGCAGGCTCTGAGAGTGTGAAAGTAGCCAGCGTCCAACCCTGGGAACCTGCTGGCTGGGGAGGAGAAAGCCGTCCGCTGCGACCAGGGAGCTCAGGATTTGCAGAAAGGGCTCCGGTGCGCACAAGTTCTGTCTACACGACCGCCAAAGCGTCCAGAACCCGGATTCAGGATTCACATTCACATCAGCTTCCAGAAGGAGCTTCCGGATGGGGGATCCTTGAAGGCAATCGAGGGGCGGCGGGGCTCCGAGGGAGGCGGGGGTTCAGAGGGGGCTGCCCCGCCACCCCCGCCGGCGTCCTCCTCGCCCTGCCAGGCCAGGGCTAGCTGCAGGTCCAGCCCCTCCAAGTCCTCTCCGGTCAGGCTGGGGCGCAGCTCCCGGGGTGCGGCCTCCTGGTCTGGCTTCGGACCAAACATGCAGTCTGCAGCAAGGGGGCTCGTGAGGCAACTCCCCGGCTCCCGCCACCCTCCTCTGTCCCCTCCCCAGCTAGGAGAAGCCCTTGGATCCCCTGACCACCCACCCAGCGTGGTCCAGCAGCAACCCAGGCTAGGTTTTTCGGTGGGGGCAGCTCACCGGCCAGGTCGTGGGCGAGGTCTTTGATGAGGTGCCCGACGATGGCGTAGGCGACGGCCACCACCACCAGTGCGGCCAGGAGCAGGTACAGCACGTACCTGGGCAGGCGGATGGTGTCCAGGGGCGGCGGCCGGTACTCCTCGTACAGTGGCGGGGACGGGCTCCAGCCCTCGGCCTCCCCCTCGGCCGCCAGCCCCGGCATGGTGTCCGCCCGGCACAGGGGAGTCCCGGAGGTGACCCACGCAGCGGAAGTATTAAGGGGCTTTGAGCTAAGAGGATTGGGCGGCTGCCCCGCGGCCACCATCTGCCTGGGTTAATCATATTGCAAATCACTTCCGCCCACCGGCAACCCACCTGCTCAGCTCCAGTCACTACTCTGCCCAGCCATCCCCATCTCGGGGCCTCTGCACCGGCGCTTCCTTCTCCCAGGAATGCCCTGAACAGATTTCCTCCCGGTCGGCTCACTGTCTTCATTCATTCATCTTTTTAATTCTTATCATTTTATTTAATTTTTTTCAAGACAGAATTTCACTCTTGTCGCTCAGGCTAGGGTGCAAAGGCGAGATCTCAGCTCGCTGCAACCTCCGCCTCCCGGGTGCAAGTGATCCTCCCACCTCAGCCTCCAGAGTAGCTGGGATTACAGGTGACCGCCACCACACCTAGCTACTTTTATTATTATTTTTGAGACAGGGTCTTGCTCTGTCGCCCTGAGTGCTGGAGTGCAGTGACTCGATCATAGCTCACTGCACCCTCGACCTCCCGGGCTCAAGCGATCCTCCCACCTCAGTCTCCCTAGTAGCAGGAACTACAAGTCCTCACCACTGTGCCTGGCTCTTCATTCATTCATCGAATGTGTATTGAGCAGTGACTAAGGCTGGGCACTCTCTTAGGTGCTGGAACACAGCTATGAGTAAGAAAGACTAGGCCGGGCGCGGTGGTTCACGCCTGTAATCCCAGCACTTTGGGAGGCTGAGGTGGGCGGATCACTTGAGACAGGAGGTCGAGACCAGCCCGGCCAACATGGTGAAACCCCATCTCTACTAAAAATACAAAAACTAGCTGGGTGTGGTGGCGGGAACCTGTAGTCCCAGCTACTCGGGAGGCTGAGGCAGGAGAATAGCTTGAACCTGGGAGGTGGAGGTTGCAGTGAGCCGAGATCATCCCACTGCATTCCAGCCTGGGCAACACAGCGAAACTCCGTATCAAAAAAAAAAAAAAGGAAAAAATAAAAAAAGAAAGACTAAAACCTGACATTCCAGGGAAGGAGATGGATGCTAAGAAAGAAATGTAATCTTAGAGTAAATGACATATTAGGTTAGAAAGGGAGGTGTGGCTGGGTGCAGTGGCTCACTCCTGTAGTCCCAACACTTTGGGAGGCTGAGGCTAGAGGATCACTTGAGCCAGGAGTTCAAAACCACCCTGGGCAACATAGCAAGACCACATCTCTACAAAAACTTTAAAAACTAGCCAGGCGTGGTGCGTGCCTGTAGTCCTAGCTACTTAGGAGGCTGAGGCGGGAGGATTGCTTGAGCCCAGGAGTTTAAGGCTGCAGTGAGCTGTGATTGCACCACTGCACTCCAGCTTGGGTGAGAGTGAGACTACCTCAAAAAAAATAAATAAATAAAAATAGGGCTGCCAAGGCATCACTGAGGAAGTGACATTTGACCAAAGACCTGGAGGAAAAAGGGAACCAGCCATGGGAGAACCTGGGGAAAGAGAGTTCCAAGCAGAGGGCACAGCCCCTGCAAAGGCCCTGGGGCAGGACTGTGCCTGGCATGTTGGAGGAACAGTGAGGAGGCCAGTGTGGCTGGAGCAGAGCGAGCTGGAGGAGTGGGGGGGAGGGGAGGATGGGGAGCTGTGAGCGCAGGTCCTACAGGGCTGTGTAGACTGTGAGGAAGACTTGGGCCTAGACCCTGAGGGAGGTGAGAGCCATGGAGGGCTGTGGGCAGAGGAGGGACGGGTCCTGACACAGGTGCTCACAGGTGCCCCCTGGTGGTTTATTTGGGGGAAACAGACTGTGGGGGCCAGAGGGGAAGCCAGGAGGGGACTGAGCTTGACCTAGTGGAAGGAGAGTGGGCAGATTTGAGATGGACCTTTTTTTTTTTTTTTTTGGAGATAGGGCCTTGCTCTGTCAACCAGCCTAGAGTGCAGTGGTGGGATCTTGGCCCATTGCAGCCTTGACTGCCCACGCTCAAGCGATGCCCCTACCTCAGCCTCCCGAGTAGCTGGGACTACAGGTCTGTGCCACCACACCTACCTAATTTT